AGTGCTCCTCTAAAGTCATGCTGAAATGGCAATCCAGTGAGGGTCTTGAATGGATCCTTGAACCAGTTGTGCACCGCGCACAAGGCAGTGTTAACTGTACATCTGTTCTAACAGTGAGGGCTATGAAGTCCCAGCATAGCTACACATGAGTTAATCGTGTTGCAAAGGGCACTACTGGGTTACTTTGGCATCTGTGACCATGTTGCCACCTCTCTGACTGTCTTGTTTTGTTTTGTTTTTCAAGACAGGGTTTCTTGAAAAACCTGTAGCTTTAGAGGCTGTCCTGGAACTCACCCTGTAGCCAGGCTGGTCTCGAACTCACAGAGATCTGCCAGCCTCTGCCTCCCCGAGTGCTGGGATCAAATGCGTGTGCCACCAACACCCGGCTCTGACTTTGTCTTCTATCTGTAGGGAAAGGCATCGCTCGGCCATGGAAGCTTGTATACTATCGTGCAAAGAAGATATTTGATGTGAATAATTACAAAGGCAGGTAAGAAAGTCTCACCATTTGGGCCAGAATTTATCCTGATGTCAAGAAACATGGTACAATTCTGTGGTGCATGCAGAATGCTAGCATGGCTCATACTCTTCTCTCTTTCCCAAATAAAGTCCCCAACTTTTCATTTGTGTGTCCAACATTCTGCATTGTTTTTGAATTACATTTAATTTTTCTTTTGTGTGCATGCTTTTTAAGAGAGTGAGGAGTTTGAACTGAGGCATTCATTCTGACTTGGTGAACATGGTACCTACTGAGTCAGCCCGTTACTTTTCTCTCTTCCATTCTCATTGCCCACTGTATCCTTATATTCTCACCCACAACTTTTTAAATCTAAAATTATGTATTTTGTATGTATGTGTGTGCATCACATACATGCAGGAACCTGCAGAGGTCAGAGGAGGTGTCAGATCGCCTAGAACTAGGGTTTCAGACTGTTGTGAGCCACCATGTGGGTGTCTGGGATCTCTACAAGAGCAGTAAGTGTAGCCAGGTGTGATGGTGTACACCTTAAATCCCAGCATTTGGGAGGCAAAGGCAGGAGCAAGAGGATCTCTGAGTTCAAGGCCATCCTGGTCTACATAGCAAATTTCAGGACAAATAGTGCTACATAGAGAAACCTTGTCTCAAAAAAACAAAAACAAAAACAAAAAAACCCAAAAGAATAGTAAGTGCTCCTAACCACTGAGCTATCTGTCCAGCCTTCACCCACGGTGCTTGTCTTTTGGTTGTGACCCTATCCCTGTACCACTGAGCATCTATGTAGCCCACCTCCCACAATTCTTAATAATGTCTATATTTTCCATAGTCTCTATTTGTGAGTGATTTTCTGCAGACACTGGAATACTACGTGCTAGAGATTTGTCAGAGGTTGTCACTGTTCTACCAGACCCTTGTCTGACCATAGTAGTGGCATAAACCACTGATCTCTCCACCCCCTCCTTGGGTTAAGATTTAGGAATCTGCCGGGCAAGGTGGCACACACCTTTAATCCCAGCACTCTGGAGGCAGAGTTCCCAGACAGCCAGGCAACAATCTGACAAGGCCCCTTCCTCATGGGCCTTGCCTCCCAAGCTGTGCCATCTCCTATACAGGCACTGGCCACATGGAATTAACCCATATTGCCATATAGGGTGAGAGTGGGTGCTGTGCTGGATTTACAGTGGAAGTCATGAATGCCCTCTGACACTGACTCCTAGAATGTTGGCCATGCACCTAGGTGGAACCTGGGCCTTGTGCTCCCCAGAATGTGCTGAATCAGGGAGTCACATGCCCAGCTCAAAAGAAGCTTATTCTCATGTTAACCTCACTAATACTAAGTGAAGTGAATTCTTCCTTGTGGGGGAGTGAAGCATGGCTGAGTGGCTTACACGATGTTTTGGTTGACAGCAGTCAGCACTGGTCTAGAGGAAGTAATGTGATCCAGCGGTCCATAGATGCTAATGGCAGGCCTAGAACAGTGCAGGGAAAGCTTAGAGGGGGGCTTGGCCAGCTGGCCAGTGCAGCGCTCCCTGCAGGGTACCCTCCAGGTGGCCACTGGGGGGTGGAGAGAGCCATATCTAAGCCAGGCTCAGATGGCTTGCTGTGGCCTCTGAGAGAGTCAGCTAGAGCTGGTCTCTGGCTCTGGCCAGCTGTGTCCGAGGACATGATCACCACTAGAATTCTGACATAGGCAGTGAGGGGCTCCAGCCATTAGGAGGAGGAGCATGGCTTCCTGTCAGTGCTGTCTTTTCCAAAGAAGTGCCATGAGGTAACCTTTCTAGTCTTGGACTTCGTTAAACCTTCATTACACATCCATTTTCCTTCTTTCAGGTACAATGAAGAAGACACTAAGAAGCTGAAGGCATACCATTCCCTCCATGGAAATGACTGGAAAAAGATCGGGGCAATGGTGGCCCGAAGCAGCCTCTCTGTTGCCCTGAAGTTCTCTCAGATTGGTGGTCGTAAGTGGCCTGTCTCTCTGTGAAATAAGCCGATGACGAGCGAGTGTGCAGAGATCTCTGCGGGCACATTCTTAGTACATGTTCTCTAATGTTAGTTCATTTGGCTTCTTCGTGTGCAGTCAGTGAAACTGTAGCTTTTATTCACTGGGCCTACTGACCATGCCTCAGTTCCATACACAGTAGCATGAATCCATGTGGTTATGCTGGTCCTCCAGAAGCTGGCCAGGTGGGAGCCTCTGGGAGGGAGATAATGCAGTCACTTTGCCCCAGAATGTTGGAGCTTAAACTAGGTAGGGTGGTGCACCCCTTTAATCCCAGTACTTGAGAGTCAGAGGTAGGCTGATCTTTGTAAGTTTGAGGCCAGCCCAGTCTACATAGTGAGTTCCAGGACAGCCTTGTCTCAAAAAAACAAAATAAAAGTTAACTGTTGTCAATTATTTTAGGTTGCTTTGATTGAGCTGTTGCCCATTGTTTTTTGGAAATGGACTGGTTTATTAACTGTTTATCTTATCTATTTATTTAGTGGGGGGTGGGGTATGGTTTTTCCAAGACAGTTTCTCTGTGTAACTCTGGCTGTCCTGGAACTCACTCTGTAAACCAGGCTGGCCTCAGACTCACAGAGATCTGTGTGCCTCTCCCAAGTGTTGGGATTAAAGGTGTGTGCCACCAAGCTCAGCCATCATCTTTTTAATGTGCTTAAAAGCAAGTAGATGAACAACACGAGGTCATCCTTTTATGTCTGCAGATAGAAACCACGGTACTTGGAGTAAGACAGAAACCCAGAGACTAATCAAGGCTGTGGAGGATGTGATCCTAAAGAAAATGTCTCCCCAGGAGTTAAGAGAACTGGATTCTAGACTCCAGGAAGACCCTGAAGGTCGCCTGTCAATTGTCCGGGAAAAACTGTACAAGGGCATATCATGGGTGGAAGTGGAAGCTAGAGTGGAGACCAGAAACTGGATGCAGTGCAAAAGTAAGTGGTAAGTGTGAGAACTCCTGTGTACCTTTGATAGGTTTCTCACTTGTTTGACCTGGGTAAGAGGCAGGCCTACGTAATGGCTGTGCACAACACTCGGCATCAAGAATGCGCCAGCCCCTGCTGCACCTGCTTCAGTCAGCACCTAATTGTGCCTTGATTGGCAGCATGCAGGTGTGGAACAGCTTCTGTGCATGGGTTTAGCCAGCCCCTGCTGCACCTGCTTCAGTCAGCACCTAATTGTGCCTTGATTGACAGCATGCAGGTGTGGAACAGCTTCTGTGCATGGGTTTCTTCCTCATACAGACCTTAAAGACAGGCTTTGTGGTGTACACCTGTGAATCCAGTACTCAGGAGGTTGAGGCAGGAGGATCTACTGCCTGAGCAGTAGACTGAGATGGACTTGTGACTCTCTTTGTTATTGTTTGGTTTTGGGTTTTTGAGACAGGGTTTCTCTGTGTTAACAGCCTTGACTGCCCTGGAACTTCCCACCCCCAGCCTACCCCCCACTCCATCCACCCACCACTCCCCAGGCAGGGTAGGGCCCTCAGTGGGGGCTCTGCAGTGTCCTCCAAATCTTCCTGTGCTGGTCCTGGGCCCTTCCCCATGTGTCCAGGGCCAGAGTGTAACCCTTCACGTGGGATGGGCTCAAATAACAATTTTTTAAAAAAGATTTATTGTATATACAGTATTTTTTCTGCATGTATGGCTGCAGGCCATAAGAGGGCGCCAGATCTTATTACAGATGGTTGTGAGCCACCATGTGGTTGCTGGGAATTAAACTTAGGACTTCTCGAAGAGCAGCCACTGCTTTTAACCATGGAATCATCTCTCCAGCCCCAGTAGCCACCTATTTATAAACCACCACAAAGAACATTTGTAACTGGGTGGTAATGGTGTACACACCTTTAATGTGCACTCTGGAGGCAGAGACAGGCAGATCTCTGAGTGATCAGGCCAGCCTGATCTACAGAGTGAGTTCCAGGACAAACAGCCAGGGCTACATAGAGAAACCCTGTCTCAAAAAAAAAAGAAAAATGAAAAAATAACAAAAACAAAGAGCATTTGAATAGTGTGCTTCAGCACCCAGGACAAACAGCCAGGGCTACATAGAGAAACCCTGTCTCAAAAAAAAAAAAAGAAAAAATGGAAAAATAACAAAAACAAAGAGCATTTGAATAGTGTGCTTCAGCACATGTGAATAGGCTATTCCTTTTCTTTCAAACATTTCCTTTATGGGACTGAGGAGATGTCCTGGTGGGTAAAGCATTAGAACCTGAGTTCAGGATCCTAGCACCATGTAAAAGCCAAGTGTCTGTAACCCCAGCACTGGTGTGGGGTGAGAGCTGGGACCTATGATCCCTGGAGCTCATTGGTGTCACTGACTCTGCCTGTGAGTTCCAGGTTCAGTAGCAGCCCTGTGTCAGAAATAAGGTGAAGAGCACTAGAGGAACATAGTTAACCTCTGGCCTCCACATACTAAGACACACACACTCACAAAATTTCCCAGAGAAAATCAAACCCCATTGCCATTGATAAAGCCATATTCAGGCCCTAGATTGCCACCTGATGGATACTGTTTAACAGTTCCAAATTATAGGCTTATATCTTTACAAAGAAAGTCATCTACTCTATGGGAAGAATAACAGTTCCAGGGTTAATGTTGGCTCTGTTACTAGCAGACATGGTCCACCCATGCCAGGCCCACTAACTCTACAAACCCTGTCTGTTTTAGCTGAAGAGGGTTCTCCAGTGTTCCTCCTGCTGCAAAGGCTTACAACACAGATGCTCTCTTCTCAGTCCCCTGCTGTAAAAGCTTCTCTTCCTGCAACACCAGCAGTTTGGACTGTTCTGATTAATCCATAATTAATTGGGTCTCAAAAGTCTTATTTCCACTAATATGATATCACAAAGTACAGCCAGTGAATCAGCAATGGAACTGAAGAAAAAGCATGGAGGTGATTAGAGCTCACAGTCCAGCCCTGACGTGTGTAACTTACACTTGATGTGGACTCCGTTGTACTGCAGTTAAGCCAGGATGCTGCCTCATTGAGAAAACACTATTCATAAGTATACTGTGCTTCACAATTGAAGTGTTTCACTTTTATAGAACTAGTTTTATGGCATAAAACCAGAAATTGTCATTCAGCAATTTGAAAAAAAGAAAAAAATTCCCTTATACAGATTTCATACAACAAAATAGACCCTCTCTTCCCCATTATCCACATCAAATGGTCATGGCCGTTCTGTCCATTAATTTGCTCCTGCCCAGTGAATGGAGCAGTTGATGTGCTAAAGATGTAGTGATTCCCCTGCATGCTTAACAGAAGGCAGGGGAAAAAAACGATCCACGAAGAGACAAGAATGAAACTCTGCTCAGCCCGACTTTATTTTAACTGGCACTGGCCCCGGACCAGAATCTGGCCCAGATCTTGTTACTTTAGTAATTTTTGAGCACAGCGAAATCTTTGAAAGAAGTATTCAGATAACAATTAACTCAGTCCCAAGTGCACACCATATAAGACCTGTTTACACTGAGATAGCTTCTTTCACAAGAATGGGGACTGTTGACTCAGAGATAGTGCCCAAGATTTAGGGTCTAGGTAGTTTGACTGAGGTAAACACAGTGCCTGTGGGTGTCAAGGTTGGCCTGGCCATAAGATAACATAGAAGTCACTTAGGATGTTGTAAAGCACAAGTGACCTCACTTATAAGAGTGGGGTTTATGGTCTAAAAGCAATGGTCAAGATTTAGGGGGAAAGGTCTTGGGTAAGTAAAAACATAAATTCTGGAAGATAAGGCAGAGCCTGTCTCATCACACAGCAGAGTCACCAGGTTGTAAAACATCATCCCTAGAGTTCCAGGAAGAGCAGCCAGCACCACATTCTGTTGAAGAGGTGAGCTGTGGTTTTAACTTTCCTGGCTTCTCCAGTGCTTATCTCTGCACAAGACCTTTTGCTCTCTATACTAAAAATATAGGACATTTACCTTTTAGACTAAAAGCAAACCACATTTTTCTTAACAGGACAGAGATTCTCACCAAAAGGATGACCCATGGGGGATTCGTGTATCGTGGGGTCAATGCTCTGCAGGCCAAAATCACCCTTATTGAAAGGTACTGAAATAGGGGTGGGTGTTGTATAAACTACTAATTGTTAATCCAGAGACAAGGATGCTGTTGCTTAGACTCAACTCCCATGTGTGTCACAGTGGGTGTGTGCCCTGCCTTTCTGAGTTTGTTAACCAGTTCTGAATGAGGCTGATAAAGAGAAGTTATCTGTTTCCCAGTGTTTGTGGAAGTATGAGGGACAATGCATGGTGGCCATACTGAGTACACAGTTAAGGTTGTTAGTTCAGTCTGCAGAACTGTTCTTATGGGTGTGCTGTTCCTATCTATTGGGAATTGATGATGGGAAAGTTAGACAGCCCTGCCACACCGCAGTGACACAGTTGGTGCAACTGTTGCTTGGTTTTGTCCCGAGTTTCTTGCCTATGCAGAGTCCTCTACACAGTAGCCCCAAGGAAAGTGGAGGCATGATACTCTATGACACTGGTAAGTCTGGCAGATAAAGGCTTATGTTGGAGTAGCAGCAAGAGCAGCAGAGGCCCTTGGTTGTGGCCATCCTGTCCAGCTTCTTTGTCCCAGCGCTCTGCCATGCTTCCTGTATTACCCTGGCTGGCTATGCCCCACCCTTCATTCAGAAAGAGAGACAGGATAGCAAATCTGAGGAGCTATCTCTGGGTCTCACCACTAGGTAGTCATGGCAGATTGAGTCGGGGGCACAGTCCCTAAGCTCCATTTACTTGTCTATAGAATGGGGCTAACGTGCCCCCCCCCACCATGGTGCTGAGAATTACTGTGCATGAGTAGTGCAGGTATGAAGCTAACAGTGCCTTGAGAAGTAGGCTTGAGGACAGTGTACTGTTCCTGAGAGGCTGTTGAATGGAGAGATGCTTTTCAGCTCATCTCCATAGCTTCCTCTCTGACCTTGGACTAACCTTGGGCTAGACTGGACAGTGTACTTGGGGGAATGGAATAAGATGGAAGCCCTTGGTCTTTCGGCTCTTGGTAGTTTGTGAGCCTGTGGAGGTGGACTTTACTTGAATTTCTTCTCTTACAGGTTGTATGAACTAAATGTGAATGACGCTAATGAAATAGATTGGGAAGATCTTGCTAGTGCCATAGGGTAAGACTGTATACTGAACATTAAGCTTATTCAATGGTAGAAAGTTTTTAAAATAACTTTATTGTGTGTGTATATGTATGAGTGTGCATATATATGGTGCACATGGTGATCAGAAGACTCATTGACACTCAGTTCTCTCCTTTCAGCATTGTGGAGACTAGACTCCACAATGGCAAGCATCAAGAGATGACTTTAATACATGATAACCTATCACATTTCCGCAGGCCTAAAATTCATGTTATGTGTGGAATCTTGATAACTCAATCTGTAAAGTGCTTACCACTGGAGCACTAGGCTCTGCATCCAGCCTTACCTCGTATTTAAGCTGGACGCGATGTTGGCATCTATAACCACAGTGCTGTGACAGGGGATCCCCTAGCTCCCGACTGTCTCAGAAGAGAAGATGTCTAGTGATAGAGAAAGACACTGACTTCACCCTCCAGCCTCCCCACACAGCACCAGCTCACACTAGATCATCTCTGAGCCCTGTGCTTCACTTTGCTTTGCTTTTGCTGTGTTCAATGGCAGGATCTTGCTGTGTAGCCAGATTGACCTCAAACTCACCCTCTTTCTGCCTTCAACTCCAAGAACTGGAGAACTAGCAGTACCACATCCAGCAGCAATGGAATGGTGTTGCCTGGTTGTCAAGTTTTACATTCCCTGGTTATTCTCACCTGCAGCCACTGAGGGGAGTCAGAGTAGGAATTCAAGGCAGGAACCTGGAGGCAGGAACTAATGCAAGGAACACTTGCTTCTTATGGCTTTCTCAGCCTGCTTTCTTATAGCACCCAAAACCATCAGCTCAGGAGTGGCACCACCCACAGTAGGCAAGGTTCTCCCCCATTTAAGAAGATGCTCCACAAGTTTGCCCACCAGCCAAATCTGGTGGGAGCATTTGTCAGTTGAGATTGTCTCTCCCAAATGTTTCTGCTCATGTCAAGTTGACATAAAGCTAGCTAGCACAGTTTGACTTTGTTTTATTTTTAATAGAAGACAAATTGCATTGTCCAGAGTAAGAGAGGCATGAAAAGAAGCAGTGAGTAGCCTCCCTCCCCACAGGAAGCCAGCGTCTGGGTCCTTTGCCAGAGCATTTGTGCAAGAGGCCTGCAGGATCTGAACCATGTCCTACGATCAGAGCTCATGTTGATTGTGCGCTTTTCTCTTCAAAGGGCCAGCTTTAGAAATTGTTCTTCCTTCCCCTCCTTAGCTCTCTATCTACCCATCCATCCCTCCCTCCTTCCATTTTCTTCCTTCCCCTCCTTAGCTCTCTATCTACCCATCCATCCCTCCCTCCCTCCATTCACCTCTCTATCCACCTCTCTTTCTCTCAGTCTTCTCTCAGTCTCTCTCACAGGGTCTGACCACATATCTCAGGCGGCCTTGACTTTGATGGCCTCCTCCTTCTGCCCCTTCTCTGCTGTTCTTGGGTTGCTCTCTGACTTTGTTTTTCAGCTTCTTGAGAATTCTTTTCTAATGAGATCTTTTTCCTCCACACCGCTTTATCAACAATGCCTAGTAGTTTTTAACACTTTATCAGAAGTTTAGACAGATAAAAGAACAAGTGGGCCTCATATGCCTATCATGCTCCTTAGAAACTGGCCACATCTCGCCAGCCTAACTGCAACTATTTTGTTCACCTCCTCTGATAATTGCCTTATTTTTTGTTGTTGTTGTTGTTGTTTTTTAGGAAATCATATCTGCTTTGTAGCTTTGGTATCCTTCAGCATTTGAAAAGTCCCTTTGAGTAATTCTGTTTGGAAATCAGTAATTCTGTTTCTAGAAGTACATTCTGTAGAATCAACTCTCAGTGTGCATGAAACTAGTTACATATAGAAGGACTCACTGTGCTAGTAGCGTGCCCACTGATGGGAGAAGTAGTTATATGCAGAATGACCCACTGTGGCAGCGTGCCCACTGATAGGAGAGGAGCTGAGGATGCAGCTCAGCTGGCCTAGTGCTGCCTGGCATGCACAAAGCCCTAGGTTCTGTCCCTAGCACTACATAAACTCAGGTGTGGTGCACACCTGTAATGCCAGCACTCGGGGTGAAGGCAAGAGGATCGGGAGTCATCCTTGACTCTATAGTGTGTTCTAGACCTGTGTGGAATACATGAAGCCCTGTCACAAAAAGAGAACTGATGACATTTTCACTTTTTTTCCCCCACCTTTCCTTTCTAAAGGGATGTCCCTCCACCTTTTGTTCAGGCAAAATTTTATAAGCTGAAAGCTGCCTGCGTTCCTTTTTGGCAGAAAAAGACTTTTCCAGGTCAGTATTACAAATCCTTGTCTAATTAAGAGTGTGGTGTTGTCTGGGTGTGATGATCCCAGCAATAGGGAAGCAGAGGCCAGCAAGGTTACACGGCAAGGTTACATGGGACACATGAGACCCTGTCTCAAAAAAAAAAAAAAAAAAAAATAGTAATAAAATAAAAGGAGTTCCTGAGTCTCCCCTCCCCTTCAGGGAGTCTGCTGCCTCACAGCAGGGTTGTACCTGAGCCACAGGGCAGGGACACTGTCCTGAAGAGTGTTCTAATACACTGCTCTGCATTTTGCAGACATTACTGCCCAGCTCATCTCCTTGTTGAGTCCATGACTTCAGCAACTTTCTTAATGCCTTCGGGTCTCAGTTTCCTCACTTGAAGGATGGATTAGAGGAAGTTGGGGAGTTATCTCAGTAAAGTGTTTACTAAACAATTGTTTGTTCACCTGGGCTTGGATCACCAGCACTTGGGAAGCTGGGCAGTGACAGCGCACACCTATAACCCCAGTTCTGGAGACACAGAGACAAGAGGATCCTAGAGCTCCCTGACTGGCCACTCTAACCAGATCTACAAAGCTACAAGCTATAGCTCACAGGTTCAGTGAGACCCTGCCTTAAGAAATGAGGTAGAGATGAGCCTGGTGGTGGTGGTGGTGCTGCTGCTGCTGCATGCCTTTAATCCCAGCATTTGGGAGGCAAAGGCAGGCGGATCTCTGTGAGTTCGAGACCAGCCTGGTCAATAAGAGCTAATTCCAGGACAGCCTCCAAAAGAAGCCACAGAGAAACCCTGTCTCAAAAAAACAGAAAAAAGGGGCTGGAGAGATAGCTCAGCGGTTAAAAAAATAAAGAAATTGAAACCAGTGCAGCAAGGTACCATTTTTATTGAATGGAAAGAAGTTTAAAAGCACTAGAAGAGATGGCTCAGTGGTTAAGATCACTGAATACTCTTCAGAAGACCCAGATTCAATCCCAGCACCTACAAGGTCACTCACATGGCCTAACTCCAGCTCTGACTCCAAGGGAGTCAGTTCGCAGTTATTTCATGTGACACCCTCTTTTGGCCTCTGCAGGCATAAGGCACACACATGATGTACAGACATACAAGCAAGCAAAACATAAAAATAAGTAAATCTTAAAAAAAAAACAAAAACAGAAAGGAGGTAAAAGGTTATAATTATCCTACGACATTAAGCATATGAGGTATCAACTTTTTAAGGTATTTTTGTTGTTGAGACAGTCTAGCGAAGCTTACTCTGGCTTCAAACTCAATAGGTAGTTAAAGATGACTTTGAATTTCTTTTAAAAATTTAAGATTTAAAAAAAATTGTTGGGCTGGAGAGATGCTCAAAGGTTAAGAGCACAGACTGCTCTTCCAGAGGTCCTGAGTTCAATTCCCAGCAACCACATGGTGGCTCACAACCATCTGTAATGAGATCTTGTGCCCTCTTCTGGTGTGCAGATATACATGGAAGCAGAATGTTGTATACATAACAAATAAATAAAATCTTAAAAAGAAAAAAAGAAAGAAAGAAAGGAGGTAGAGAGCAATTGAGACATCAACCTCTTGCCTCCACTTATGTGCACGTGTATGTATATCTATACACATGTACTCAGAGAGGCGTGCGTATGTATACCAGAGGGAGTGCCCTGTGCCTAAATAAGTGAGGATAGAATAATATCTGCCTCATAGGATTTTCTCAAAGATTGCATAAGAGACTATACCAGCTAAGTTGGAGTTTTTTTTCCCAAGACAGGGTTTCCCTATGTAGATTTGGAGCCTGTCCTGGAACTAGCTCTTGTAGACTAGGCTGGCCTTGAACTCACAGAGATCCATCTGCCTCTGCCTCCTGAGTGCTGGGATTAAGGCGTGCGCCACCACCATCCAGCACACTAAATTGGATCTTATGTGTGGTAATGGTGCAGGGCATTCCTGTGTCCTTTGGCCTTAATTAGAGGCTTGTACAAATAATTCCAAAATGACCTTTTCTGCAGAGATCATTGACTACTTATATGAGACCAGTCTGCCTTTGCTGAAGGAAAAGTTAGAAAAGAAGATGGAGAAAAACAACAGCCAGATCCAGACTCCCTCAGCTCCCAAACAAGACTTCCTGTTCAAAGACATCTTCTATTGTGATGATGACAGTGACGGGGAGGGCGCAGAGGAGCCCAGGTGAGTGCAGTTCTTGTCGAATTCATTTAGTTTGGTCATGCTTGTGTACATATGTGTCAATCAGCTCTTTTCGGTAGCTGAGCACCTGAGTGACTTACCTCAGAAAAATAAAGGTCACTTTAGCCTTTTTAGAGGTTCTGGTCCATGCCCCATTGGTGCTATTACGCTGGGCCTGTGGAGACAGCACATTGTAGTTAAAACCTGTGACAGTAGCCGGGCGATGGTGGCACACACTTTTAATCCCAGCACTAGGGAGGCAGAGGCAGGTGGGTCTCTGTGAGTTTGAGACCAGCCTGGTCTACAAGAGCTAGTTCCAGGACAGCCTCCAAAGCCACAGAGAAACCCTGTCTCGAAAAACCCAAAAGAGAAAACATGTGACAGTAAAGTCATTTACCTCATAGCCAGAAAGCAAAAGAGAACAAGGGGATTCCACAATCCATTTCAAGCCCCCATCCCCAAACCCCCAATTGCCTAAAGAATTACCAGGAGGAATCCCTGTGTCCCACTGACACTGCCCTGGGGACCTTGCCTTTAACATGTAAGCTTAGGTGGGCAGGGTGCAGGCAGGAAGATCTTCAGTTCTAATGTCTGGTAAAAATGGTGTGAGCAGGGTGTGATGGTACATGTCTTTAATCCCAACACTGAGGAGGCAGAGACTGGTGATCTCTGAGTTCAAGGCAGGCCTGGTCTGCAGAGTGATTCCCAGGACAGCCAGGGATACACAGAGAAACCCTTGGGGCGGGTGGGGGGGTGTTAGGTAAATGAACATGAAAACACATTGTGATGAATGAATGAGCATTAAAACACACTAGGGAGGGGCTAGAGAGATGGCTCAGCAGTTAAGAGCACTGGTTGCTCTTCCAGAGGACCAGTGTTTAATTCCCAACACCCATATGGCAACTAACAACCGTCTGTACCTCCTGTTCCAGGGGATCTGACACCCTCACACAGACATACGTACCGGCAAAAACCACCGATGTACATAAAATAAAAAATAATAAATTTGGGGAGAAGAGTGGGGCAGTGGTGTGCTCAGTCACAAGTGTAAGAACCTGAGTTGGATCCCTAGCACTCACATAAAAAGCCAGGCGTTGGTGGCGCACGCCTTTAATCCCAGCACTCGGGAGGCAGAGGCAGGCGGATCTCGGTGAGTTCGGGGCCAGCCTGGTCTACAGAGCAAGTGCCAGGATAGGTTCCAAAACAATACAGAGAAACCCTGTCTCGAGAAAATAAATAAATAAATAAATAGATAGATAGATAGATAGATAAATAAATAGA